CTAATCGTGGCAGCCCTAGTCGACAGTATCGAACACTGCACTGAAGTCTAGCAGGACAAGCACAGAGATGAGTCCACTGTCAGAGGCCATAAGAAGATCATTTGTAACCTTCACTAAAGCTGTTTCTGTGCTGTGATGAGCTCTGAAACCTGACTACAGACCACTAAGTGCTCCAGCGTCTCCCTTTCTGAACAAAAAGGACAACCCTTCCCAGTGCCTGGGTCCAGGTGGGCTCTGTGTCTGTTCGTGGCTGTTGCTCCATGTACAATCCTCCACTGGAGGGAAGCCATCCGTTGTTCAACAGGAGGCTTATACAGGACCCTCCACCTGCCTTTAGGGGTAGAATCCGAAGCAAAAAACTCCATTTTGACTCCCTGATTCCAACCAGAGAGCGGAAATTCAGCACCTTAACACAGCATAAATAAAGCTGCTTCTTGCCACAAGAGCTGAAACTATCCAGCACTGGTGTCCCCAGGGAGAGAAGCATGCCACTCCCCTCAGGCTGCTCCTCAAAGGCAGGACTGACCATCAATGAAGGGAAAACATATTCGCTGTCATCAGCCCGGCTTGTGTATCGGAGAAGGCTTGTGTAGTTAGTGTGTAGTGTTGTGGATAGTTTTGTGTTGTGTGTCAGAACCAGTGTTGGGACTAACGTGTTATTAAGTAACGCGTTACAGTAACTACGTTATTATTGTGGTAACCAGCACGGTAACTAGTTATTATGCCAAAGTCAGGAACGCGTTACTTGTTACTGTTGAACTTTATTTTATTCATAAGGTCAGTTAGTAGAGTTGCCAACCGTCCCGTAAAAACAGAATCCTCTGGCATTCAGAGAAATTATTACGCGTTTCATATTGAGGTGAAAAGGAACAGTTTGTCCTGGACTTCAGCTACAATGGAAAACACACAAAGCTGGATTTATTCTGTCTTTATGCTGCAGCTGCTTCTTCTCCTCTCATCCTCTCCCCTCTCTCTCCTGTTTCTACTTCATTCATGAAACTGATCAATGATCAGCTGATCGGCTTTTCTCTCTTGTTTGTTTATCGCCCACTTTG